GTTCTGCCGCCATCGGATCAATCCCTACCAAACTGCAATAAGCAAAAGGAATTACAATAGAGGTCCTTTCAGTCGAGCTACTCGATACTAATCCCGTATTCGCTTTTAGTCAGCTCAACGGGCTCGAGAAGAAAGCCTGCGAATCTCTCGGATGTGGTCAGCTCGTCTGGCGATACCACTGATCTCGCACGAAATCTCGGTTCTTACTTAAACACGAAGATACCTCCAAGTTGGTTGTCTGGAACTATTCCAAGCCTCCAGGCTACTCCTGTCAAGCTCATAACTTTTCTTTGCAGGTCTAAGTATTTGCGTTCTCATAGTTCTCTCCGTCGCAGCATTCGCTTTGATACTGATGGGTATGTGAAGACGGTTGGCAGTACTTCTACTTATGCATTCATATGAACGAACTGTTTCAGGAACGTTCCACATTCCATTCTGTCATGTACAACCGATGATTCCTATCTGGCTCACAGTCGCTGGAGTACTTTTCATTATGACCGCAACACTTCGCATTTTTCGCATGATTCCGTCTCCACGGAGCGGGCACCGATCTCAATCAAAGTCACTTGACCTCTGCTGCCGAATTAGCGAGGGTCTTTTAGTTGTCGTCAACATCGTTTGGTTGACATTAGGTAGGACCTATTACAGTATTGCTTATTGGTAGAGCTCAAGGTGTTAAAGGGAGATTCACGACTGGTGGTTAGGTCTGAAATGTGCTTCGATTTTGGTAAAATGGGTATCGGCTAAAAGTAAAGTCTCTTTGCGTCTCCCGGTTCGGGATGAGCCCTACATTCAGCTTTCAATTAGCGACGTATAAGTTTTTTGAACGTGTATGTGACCTAGACAATGCCTAGCGATGGCCAGCCAATTTACGAGCCAGGGCGTCTATATTCCTAGAAAGACTGCAGTACGCAATGGGGTATGAAAAGCTCCGTTGGCCTTAACGGGTACAGGTCCGCGACTCGATCCTGTACTATTCCGTACTATGCGTGATAGGTCGCTATTTGACACCACACGGGCGCCGCCCTTTGCAAATAAAATTGCCAGAAAAAAGGGTGATTTTGCTTTTTCTACCCCTTGTATGCAGATGTCCACGTATATCGTTAGCCACTATTAAACATAAAATTCAAATACCAAACAATAAGCACCAAATATTTCTCACGGCTCAGTAAATCGCAATGGTTGTCGGTTCCACACTGAATACGATAGAAATTGTGAGTATACACCTGCGCTAAGGCACACATAGCCTTCTCAAATTACAATCATGCGTTGTTTAGCGATGTGCATTATAAAGCTATGATAAAATATTATGAAAAGTCGAAAAAAATCTGCCGACTTTCAGGATGTATATGGGTATATGGCAGTAAACCATATGTGCACTTTGAAGAACACATGTTTGAAGAGCACTACTGTGATCGGGCTCTCTACTGGGTAGCATTTTGGACATGCACTCTTTATTTGGTGAGAATATTACTTGTGTTCGCTCGTTTACATTATTCACCTCAAGGATTTCCAAAATAAGACATTACTACTCTTACAATAAAGAGCTACAAGTCATCCAAAAGCTCCCTTATGTGATACTATTTTTAGGTTATGATATGCATCATGATAATCCTACTGATAATTTTGATGGCTGTACTTTCAACAAAGGAAGCCGCTGAAAACGAGATGGAACCCTAGAAAGATTTGTGGACATCAATGTATTTGTAAATAATTGTAAATGCTTGCATAAATCTCATGAACGCGAAATAGGCATTTTCAAGAAGAAAAAATAGGAGTGAAGCGAGTTTAATGAAAGTTTTAGAACTTTTAAACCATACCTTTCGAGATGTGTCGTAGTTCCAAATAAGAAACGGGGAGAAAAGTCGAATCCATGCTTCTACGTGTTCCTGTTCCGGTACAATACTTGACTGATCTAAAGCAACACTTGCTATCATGAAGTTTTTTTTTGTTTGAAAAACCATAAAAATGAACAGAATACATTGGGCATTTCCTTGAATTCATCTTGGGTAAGGGGATCACAAAATGCATCAAATCACAAAGTTCTCTGCTGTACTGGCCTTCCTTTTTTTGGGAAAGGTGGAAATTTGCCAGATTTGACTAAAATTTGTCGAATCTCACATCTGACATCTATTAAACTACAGCGTTTGTTACCTCCGTGATAATACTGCTTTGGATATAAAACTACTGAAATGTGCTGAGGCGTCCAATAGCATTTACACCCTTGAGACTACGCATAGTCAGGTTCATGTCCGGACAACTACGCCTTTCCCCGGTAGCACCATCTCTTGGTGAAAGTAGCAACGTAGCCCACCATTGAGAGGGCAAGATGTGTACGATTCGAGAGGCTACATACGCTCAAACACCCAACTATGTGCCTGTTCCCGGTTCTCCCTCTTGAATCGACTACAAAGGCAAGGTTTTAGGATATGCTAGCGATTTCTGGGGTTTTCCACTTTATAGGAGGAAGACAGGACCTACTTCTTCACATACACAGCCACTTCCCAAACCTAAGGCCGCAGTGCGTTGCTTTGAACCAAGAAACCACTGTTTCCTGCTAAACCTGCAGTTATCAAGCATAACACATCTATCAGAAACACCTCTATTACCAAATAACTCCAAAACTTAATAAATTTTCAAAATAAGTTTCAACATCATTTGTTCATTCACTAACAAGCAGGCGTGCTCTCAAGTATTGCCCTTGAACCGGCTGATCAATGGTGGTGGTTGCATCTGCTTATAAGATTCTCTCCACAATTTCGAAGAAAGAGAAGTGCATGGCGCAACCAAAAAGTCAAAAAGAATGACAAAAAACACTCCACATCAATCGTTTGCATTCTACCACGTACGGTGTTGCACTGAGCAGGCACATAGATTCAAAAGGTGTCATTAAGACGCTTTTTTCAACCAACTGTTTTGCACTGGGACACAGATAAGAATCTGACAAAAGCGTTCGAAGTTTTCGATGAATCAGATGTAGATAAAAATAAGCAAAACGCCCTCCGCCGGAAAGATACTGAATAGAAATTGATCGCAACCTTTCTCTGACTAGACCACAATGACCAAACATAGTGTGATATTCCAAGGTTTTCGATTATTTCCTCAATAGCCTTCGTTAGGTATCCTAGCATTCCACTTCCCTGAATCCTCTACTCTATAAAGACCGCCTGACATCCATCAAAAGCTATTAGTCTGGCACCAAGACATTAGTACTTATGACTGCAGAGCCACTTCATCTTGCACGAATTCTCATGAAGTCTCAAGCGCCTTTCTATGAATAACATTGACGGGATACATCCACCTCCTCAAGACCTCGCTGTCATTGCTTTGATTGCTTACAGATACAATGGTTCATACCCGAGAGCAACATGCAGTATTAATAACAGTGCATTGACACAAGTCTAAGAGCTAGTTCGCAACAACTGGAAGTGGACGCCTATCGAAACCGGGAAGATGTGTTATTTTAACAAATGAGGTAGAATCTTTCCAGAGTTTCTGATTTACGATATTTTCTAGAGAAATGCTAGCAAGCTCAAGAGCTGTGCCTGCCTTAGAAGAAATGTATAAACAGGGCGCATACGAAGTCAAATGATTGGTCAAAAAGGAGATAAGAAAGAATTAGTTTGGCCAGGCCATCTTTCAAAAACCGCTCAAAGGATGTAGGCAAAGACGGCCAAGGAAGGTCAGCAGCCTCATCAGAGTTTTTGTAATGCAAAATGGGCTAGGTATAGCTGCGACAAATGAAGCTTCAGCTCTAGGTACACTAAGACTGAGCAGTCTTTCCTCAATGTTCATAATTCATAAAAATCTATGCTGTTCTTGCGAGTACATTCAATCAAGCTATCTACTACAGAAGAACCCACCAAGGCCTAGATTCTTCAGCGCCTCATCAAGCTTTGTGCTGTTGTAATCGCATACTGGACTGGCTTTTAGAAGTCCAACGTGTTGCCAAAACTCTATCACAAACAATGCGAAATCGACCATTGTCCATTCAAAGGCTTTGCCAAATGACTTCTCTTCCTGAAAATGTTTGTAATAAATTATAAAACCTTATAATGTGAGAGACGCTAAGTACTGCCAACCTGCCAGCTATCATGGTGAATCACTTCGAGGAGGCTACTTAGGTATGCAGCATTCGATGAAAGGCGGTTCCAAACCAGCCGAGGCACATGAGCGAACGGCTGAAACACTGGTCAGTGACTTTCCCCGAGGGAGTTCATAAAATGATTGGGTAATAGGTTTTTATTTATGTTTTAGAATTGAAGTCCATACAAACACCCATTCCTGTTATTACTAAGAAATAACGTAAATAATGATGCGAAGTGATGACTTGAGCGTAATCAGATCAAAATGTAAGTTTCGAGAAGGTGGAACCGAAGCCAGCCATTTCACGCTGCCACCATATCTATGCCAATTATAAGGAGATATTTTATCATTGCTTCTTAAAAGTCTTCAAGAATTTTTCTTACCCCTGTTAAATACTTCTCGCTATTTTTGCCTGAGGCAATGTCATCGAGTGTTGACTGCGAGCTTCGCGTCAGCAGACGGAGGATGGTCTTCACACAGACTGCGGACAGTACACTTCGAGCCAAGACTTGACAAAGCTCTGAAAGAATGAATGTCACATTGGAGGTTCACTTCATGTTTGTATGTTGTTCGGAGCAGGGAGGTAGTCAGAAATCCCTTCGAGGTCGCTGCACTGGAACTGACTCACGGGTGCGTAGACTTTATTGGTGTCTACTCCACACATCGGTACAGAGCAAGACGCCACTACGAAATGAGAAAGGGAAAATGTCACAAATTCCTTAATGATAACCCAAACTATAGTAAGCATTGCAGAAGATACGGGGATTAGTGCAGGGCGTTATGTTCATCGGTTTCGACCCTACATTCATCGTGCGAAATAGAACAAATACCAACTTTTCTTGTCATCTGTACTATAATGCTGATTGTCCAGTACGAAGGCACTCAATCGAACTAGCAGCGATTTCAGATCGAAAAGTAGAAGCGGAACCTATAGAGAAGGAACTTCATTCATAAGCTCGCCACTTAAGTTGGAAACGCAGAGCTTGTTTTAAAACCAACGGAAGACGGCTTGTCGAGGTAATATGTTCTCGAATTCACAGGCTTATCCGTCAGTGAATGCCGACGAGATCGCTCTCTGGCAGAAGTCTGTAAATTGCAAAAAAATAAAGCGACAGAAATGGAACAAGAAAAAATACAGAAAAATGGTGATACACAGGTTTATCCACTAATAAATAAATAAAATGGAGAGAACGCTCACAGATTGCAGTGCGATTAAATCTTCTCGCCGAATGTCAGAAACGTTGATCAAATCGTCATCTGAGAATGTCAAAGGCTCTTCTTCGGTCACTTGCATCTGAAAACATGATTGAACAACGCAACAATATAAAAAACTAGAAAAGTATGACACAAACGAGATTGGATGACTGACCGTTAGATTTGGCTCATACTTGTATAGCAGCAGATCTCGGACAGCGGAAAGGCTGATTTCTTCGTCTCGTCGTGTTGTACGGCAAACACATGCTGCGATTAGATGTTCTGAAACTCACCAAGAATATGTGTGAACCTTTTGAAAGTGAAGTAAAAAGTAAATTTTGCATCTATAAGGATTGCGTTTCGTAACATGCTGCAATTTGTTGAATATGCTCCCCCAAGGAAATACTCTGACACAGCCAGCGTGACTAAAGAATCGCAATCAGATATTTTCGAGGGAAACACATCAGAAGACATTCTTGTTTTTATACGACTTATGAAACAGTGCTAGATGCGACATATTATATGCGAGTCAAATGGCTGTCGTAATATGAATCCCCGAGCGGAGGTGGTGTAGTGGCAAGTGGCGCACTATCTCACACGCACGGGGTTGGTCACGGGTTCGAATCCCGGATCGATATCCCCATAGGCCAACCAAGCCTGCAATAAACCAAGCCAATATGCCACTACAATTCTAAGTGGAAGTGGAATGATTAGGCGCATCCTTCAGATGGTATGCTTAACGCCCCAAAATTTTTGAACTCTTCAAGACTGCTCCCTACTTTTTACTTCATTTATATCATCAGTCATCCTTAATCAGATATGTACAATAAGCTGAATCGATTCATTTGAATACCAGAAAATAGGTAGAACTTGGAGAAATAGAACTCGAAATAAACAAAATGCTCAGAAATACCCGTCACAGTTGATCGCGTCCCTTTCCGCCGTTCGGGGACATTGATTTTCTTCAGAAGAATACATCTCCCCACAGTTGCCCTGAAAAATTCCGTATAACAGACCACTAATGAAAAAGCATCAACAGATTACTCATAAATAATTCGGAGTTTTTCGTTAAAAAAACACACTTTATTAGTGCAACAAGTTGAGTTTGTACTTGAAAGATCGAAGCACCCTCATCATCCGATTTATTCCAGTAACGAGTATCCATCAGATCGTAGATGTGTTCCGTGAAATGCTCAGAGTAAGGGCGGTAATCATCAGATGTCTGTAACTGCTTGCAATGAGTTCGAAAACTAGAGGGACCTTGTCCATCACCTTTCCTTACAGACAAAATCCGCTCGACTCCATTAACGGAAGCTTGTAAACTCCATCACAATCACAAGTTGTGCCTTTCATTCTTTATTGTTTTGCGGTTACCTAACGGTGTGGATGAACGCACGGGAGCACCAAATAAAGCACTACCACACATATGTTCTAGTTATCGGATCGCCATTTCATACCGAAAAAAGTAGCTCTTTCATTTTTTCGGGTTCATTCAATTGGCTGGCAAACTTGCTTGGAGACGAAAGCACTGAACTGTTTACCATATGGCTCCATAAATTTCTGCAAAGGCCCTATACACATTCAAACCACTAAAATTATGAATGAACCTTCTCCCGTGGTCCCTCTACTCGTTTTCTATTTCTTTAGCACCTAATTCTGCAAAGCCCCTTTTGTCAATCGCATTGAAAAAACTGATAAACTTTAACGGTTTGTACTTGCCTGTGGGATTCGCCTCCAATTGATAATGCAGTCTTTGAGAGATTCGAATGCCTTAAAATACAACAATAAATTTAGAAGATCTCATCATTTCGAAAACAAACCTAAGCCGAAAATGTAGGCCAGTACCTTCAAACGGTTATCTAGCAATGTGTCTCGATTCGCGGTCTCGAAGCCCCAGTCGATACGTAACGGTAGTAGAGCATTCACGCTGAACCGGCACAGGAAGCATGACACATCCCGAATAGAACGTCGAGATTCCGCGACACGTTGGTCATTCTGAGTTGAGAAACAAAAATTTAGTCAAAAAAATTGAAACTCAACAAAACACTCAAAAGATATTCTTTCATCACTTAACCCTACGCCTAAGGCCTTTCAATATTCAGAAATCACTTGAAGAAGACGATCTAAGCTACAATAATAATATTGGATGTTATTGGAGATTTCAGCGAAAAACTTCAAGCGCCTATGGCCAGCCGTCGCCGTACTAGTAACTTGTTGGGGCTCTTGACAATTGCAAACGCTAGTAGTATACTATGAGCATAACGACCCTTAGCCCCTTCTCACATAGAGTCACTCTCACCTAGAACAAGGTATTCACCGTTCTAGTAATTTGATAGGTGCCACTCGTCTGGAGTAATGGAGCGTGTGTATTAAAGATAATCCATTGCTCAAATCTTGTACTTGAAAGTGGTCATTTTGGTAAAAAACTTACTCTAAGAGTTTCTCGATAAGCATTAAAACATTTCATATGTACAGTATGCCCGCAGGTCTTCAGCTCCACAGAAGTTGACATCCCAATAATATCGGAATAAAACAGTGTCTAAAATGAAGTTTCAGATGAGGGTAGGCTAGACATCACCCACCACAAAAGAACATTAAAAAACTGCTTACACGGCGTACAAGCTCATTACGCGCAATTTTCCATCCTCTAATGAAATTTCTGACAATCGTTTGTCCTTTACGCTCATCGTCCCAGCCGAGTAGGCTCAACTCGGGTTCTTCGACTGGCACTAAGTTGTCACATAACCCATTGTTAGTAACCTGAACACTGTATAATGTCCTTTAAAAAAATCCCTGATTATGTGTCTTGTGTGATATGCTACCAGTAAGAATGTATGTCGAGAAGTATCAAAACAGATCAGCGAGGTGGAACTAGCTCTCTTCTACTAGCTACCTTGGTGCACTACTGGACGGTGGGTTCACCAGAAAGTATCGCAACACTGCTTAGGAAGAGCTTACCCAGAGAGCTCGCAAAACCCTACTAATCGGAGCGGGAATATGCTATTGAAATTCTGCCAAACAGTTACACTTTAACAATTTACCGTTTTTACAAAAGCTACGTAACATAACTTGAGATACAGGGGCTCACCCGAACAAGCATTCCAAGCGGGTTACGCAATGTCGATGGAGTATCAAGCTCGCCACAAATCGGACACTCATAGAGACGAACGTCGTGCTGAAAACATGTGAGGCCTAACATAACTACGCAAGCTACAGAGCACATGTTGCAGTCTTCTCCAGGAGCTTCACTAAGCCCGCTTAGATTCCGATACTGAGTATCTACCCAAACTAAAGTTAATCCGCTTGCCAAACGTCTAGAAACGAACAGAAACTTTACCTGAGTTGTATCGATTGAATCAATGTCTTTTTGTGTTAGGCCCTCTTTCTCCATCAATCTCTTCATAACTTCAGAATTTTTCTTCTTATTGGCAGCAAACACTGCTTCTCGCCTCCGTTTTGCTGCGGCTTTTCGCTCCTTGAAGAACCAAGAAAACCTTCGACATACTGCTTTGGGATATTGTTCATTTACAGAATTCGTATCCAAAATGAAAAGTTAGTCAACTGAACCGTGGAGCATGCCAAAAAGCTTCTGCTTTGGAGCCTTCCCTTCATTATTTGAGAGGTAGCAATCTCAACTTTTAAAAGAATTCTGAAGTCACACCTGAATAGCCTTTTGGTCATTAGCATCTTCCGCTTTCTCGGTTTCCTTTTCTTTTTCACAATCATCCAAAGCAGAAAGAAGGGATAGGTGAACTCCTTCGTCACTAAAAACAATTTGCTTTGTAATCTAGGACTCTAGCAAGAGTTCGGAGGAGTTGAGTGACTGAAAATCCAATCATTCGCATAGACAGTAACTCATGAAGGGTTCGAATACTAGCTTTGTTTACATTAGTTTTCGACTCCTGCGAATACACGAACATCATAACTCACATATGAGACCGAATTTGCTCAAATTTGTGCATAGGCTTTTGAAAAATATTTTTTTGTAAAGGTAACAAACGTGAATTAGATGCGTCCATAACGTTTTAACATAAAAAGAGAAAAACAGGTAAGGAAGCCTACCATTTGCTGATGAATGTCACGAGCCTGCCCAGATATTCTGCGGCACCACCCAAGATGCGCTTTTTGTCGAATTCGCCAGCAACTGTACGTTTCAGTAGCTTTGGTTTGTTGCCGCGCTTCTCACATTCAATCACAAAAAGAACAAACACAAGAAGTGGTAGTTGCACAACCTTTCTGTAAAGAAATTTCTGCAAATATTGCCATCAATCTGAACATCTAAAATGACAAAGAATACCGCCACAAGGCTTCACAAGTACTTTGAAAAGCAACCAAAGAATACTCACAACCCTTCTGTCGCAATATAACTCCTTCGGAACCGTTTTGAAGCGGCCAGTCTTTCAGGTTGTGGAAGAGAGAACATGTATTTATAAGCAAGCGTGAGCAGATAGACTACCAGCTGAGTGGTTGTTTCGCGAATTTCTGGTCGTCCAGTTATACCCTTAAGAAAACAGTTGTCTCAGTTTTTGTACGTTTTTCTTGGTTACAACTTTTTTTGTAGGGGTCCACAGAGCAAATGTTAGCTAGGGTTGCCGAATGGGTACAAAACTTCAGACATCAGACCAGCGTGCACATATGGTGAACGTTGTCCAGGTAATGGATCAAAAATCGGAAGATTAAGGCTTCCCAAAGAAGCCCTATCAAGACTCTTCGATCTACCTCAGACTTCATTGTGTTCTTTCCAAAACACTTCAGGAACATTTCAATATTGCAGAACCACTCTAGCTTCCACCCACTACAAGGTTGCCGGGTTTTGACGGTGACGGTGCAAGATGGGTTATCAGATGTGGAACACTTTAAAATCGACCTCTAGCAACTACTCAGCAACTCACCGCTTCAAGAACCACTATGCAAAGTTGAATAAACCGGTCGCAGAGTAAAATCCTTGCGATTTCACGAACAGACTCATGCCGCATCGAATCAGAAAAATCCGTGAGCTGGTATGGTATCCACATCTGATGAATTTTCTCCTCAGTTCCAAGAATCTCCCGTTCCCTGAAGAATATTAGCTGAATATTATATGGAATTCATTGTGTGTGGGGACAAGTCCTCTTGCACAATGGTTAGCTTAAACTTTCGTGGTGCAGGAGGTCTGCGCATTGCAGGAAGTGGGCGAGATGACGAGAACAAATCGGTTCCAGAAACATAACAGTATATCAGTTACATAACAATACAGCAGTTAGAGGGTCAAAAGCCCAATTTTTCAAAAAAATGGTAAATGAGAACAGGAACACAGTGAAAACTATTCGCCTCAATGGAAACAACGTATCCGGGATCATTTGGAGAGACCATGAGCCAAGTACACCCGTAAACCATTCAATTCATTTCATCGTTTTCCGTTGATTTAGTAAATTTGCTGCTCATAAATATTTCAACGGAAGAGGGGAATGGAAGCGGAATAAATGAGTTTTGAGAAAAATTATGAACATACATTTTCTCTACATCCATCAAAACTCCTGTGCTCGATTTCGGATAGAGAGCTCGATGTTGACAAAGCACAGGGCAGAACTCATTCAACCACACCTTCAATGCACAACCAGCAGTTGCAACAATTTAAGGAGAAAGAAATGGAAATTTCTAGTCAGGTGTATAAAGAAATAAGTATCGCAGACTTCTTTTTTCCAGCTTTTGTCCTAGAAGCTGGGTGTGCTTTTCAGTTATAATGAGATTTCCGGATTGAGGCCTTAGTCCGGATTGAAGTCAACTGGTTTAAGCCCTCATACAAAAGATCAATCATTGCCAAATGGGTTGGTATTACTGGCGTGGCACTCTTTTGAGTGCAGGATGTGATCGTAAGGTTTGAAACACAATTTTAACAACACGGGCTACACTAAACCTCTAATGGCCTTATTGTGAATATGGTGCAAACGCATGACTCCGGCTATCCAGCTCCGCACTCCCGCCTCAGATAACTACATCCAAGCTGATTCCACCTCTCTAGTCACAGACCAGCGCTTCGCAGCATAAATACAAGCCAGTGGATGACCAGAAAGGACGTCGTTTATACCACGCTTCATTCGCACATGTATCAAGAACCAGACTTATAGGTTCAAGATATTTGACGGCACTGCGCAAGTAAACTGGTGCCCTTAGCCCTCTCTAAACCTTGATAAGTCGGTTCCATGGTTAGGTGATACCTTTTAAAAGTTTGTCTCGGTTACTAACATTGCCGGAACCAGCTTGCAAAACAGGGAGCAGCAAATGCTGCTCTAGTTTATTTTTGCCCAACTTCTTGTGACTTTGTTGAACAACATCCGTCACGACAAGGGAAGGCTGGGGAAAGAGCAGAACCTCAGTGTACCCTTACGAAGGTGGGAATTTCTGAAGAAAAACCTGCTGATCCATCAATAGTCAAGTAAAAGGATGCTCAACATAAAAGAAGAAAAGAGAAAAAGTTGTATATAGATGAGCATAAAAGATTAAACATGTTTTGAACACTTCTGTATCACCCCGAATCATCATCTAGTCAGATAAAATTAGTCAAAAATTACCTCAGTTTTAAGTTGATAAGATCCTTGCCGCATTTGACCACCTGGCACAGCGACCGGCTCGGAGAAATCCGCAATCTAATGGAATCTATGTGAGGAAACAAAAACATATCCAAACAATGTAATTGAAATCTTGAGCCACGAACTTCGTTCAAAATTCGATCGAAAACCGGATCAACCGACTCAGCTCCTCTGCTCCCTTTCTCAGCTATGATTGAGCGAAGTCGTGAATGAGTATGAGGTCCACCTGCGAGAGCATTCACCTGAAGGAGGAAAAAATCTATTTTCTGTTTGGGATCAGAACAATGAACTGTGACAACAGCGAGCCGATTTCCGGCCATAAAAGAACATCCATGACTCGCCCCTACGACCCTGTATATCAAACTCTTCTGTATGTTCAACTGACCATTTCTGAACGAAGAGCGGCTTCGCTAGATGCACCACAATTTGCCAAAAGCACGACTAACTCGCTCAGAAGCCTAAAAAAAGGGACACGATCATATTGCTAGTGGGCTAGTGGTATAAATATGAGAGAGGATCATTCCCTACAAACCAAGCTTGGGCGCCAAAATGTAATATTATTTTGTAAAGTGGAGCGGTATATAGCAACACAAATTGAGCCGGAACCATATACTACGCACATTATACAAAGATAGAAAAGGCCGGAAAATAACTAGTACTCATGCATTCGTAACAAAATAACAAAATAAAGATTACCGTAGTGCTGATGCTATCATCGGGTCAATCCACTCCATTCTAGTGATGACATCCGCGTGGTCCTCATTGAAAATATATCCCAACTCGAACAGATTTTCTACCTCCTCTTCTGCTGGTTGGGTCCTAAATCGTACCTAACTGACCAATGAACCTTACCAGCTCCACACAAAATGATTACATTTACGTACGAATTATTGAAGCAAAACGAAATATTAACGAAAAACACTTACGATGAGGATGGTTCCGAAGTAGTGGCAAAGTCTTTCAGTGTGCGTTGTTTGAGAGCGGCCATAACCACATCGGCTTTGCCCTGAAAACAAAATAGTTTAGTTTTAAAGTACCAAGTTTCCTATTTTGGCTTTTCTCAGTATTAATCGAATAATTAGGGAGATTACATCTCCACATAACCAGGTGATAAAACATCGAAAACTCGCATGATCGGCACTCTGATATTCAAAAAGGTTATTAATGGATAAAGGTACTGAGCAAAGATCAAACCAGAATTTTCAACAACGTAAAGAACTACTCATTGAGTAGTTCCCCTGTTGTAAAGAAGCAAGACAAAAAGTTAAAATAATTACTGGAGGCAGATCCTTGAGAATAACTTTGATTTTCTCCGCGCATTTCTCCCAATTTGCATCAGCGACATCATCCGGAGTTGAACGACCATTGCCTGGAAGGGTATCATCTACAACACTACCAAATTTCCATACCATCTATAATTACAACTAATAGTTGTACAGCGGAACACACATTCAACAACCGAACTTCTAGAAACAAAAAGATTCACCTAATTCTCTCGCCGTTTTCGTTGAATCATCCACTTCGCTCACGTCCATGCTACTATCAGAAGAAGCACGTTTGTGGATGAAAGCAAATCGGAATACATCAACAAGATGGAAATTGTGTATCAAGGCATCCATGAACCAGTCAGGATCCACATTAGCAGCACAGTACCTGAGAGATTCGTAAGCTACAATTTGGACTACTAGATAAGCTCCAACGTTATATACCTGATCAAGTCAAGGTCGGGCGTTTGGAATGAGGTATTAATATGAGGCTGAGCATAAATGATTGCTTGAACTCTCAGTTGATTACCGTTGCGGACCCACATACCAGCGTAGTACTCAGCACGTGCAACCTGGAATCCGAAGGATACATAGAACTTTAGATAGATCCAAATTGGGATCGTTTTCTCTGACATTCTCGCAGCTCTGAAAAATGAAGAAAAAAACGCAATAATGTTTCTGCTGATGATTATTCTCTCAGCCTTCGCTGCAGCCTAACAAGCTACATGGCGGCTTTTCTGTAAGCGCGGTACACGCCATCTTATTACTATTCCGTACAAATGAGGCTGATGATGAGCATGTGTGGGGTACTTAAACGATTGAACAGCAACAACAACATTCAGACGAATATTACTTCAAAAGTTCCAGTTCAAACTCTTGCGTTCAACAAATTGGCAACAATCAGATTTTAGGGGTCTTCATTCAGGATCTCGGAGGATCTTCTCCTATTCTAAGAAACTTGCTTATTCCACCCGAAAATTGTTCAAGCTCCTGCGTTGTACCTTAAATGGTGAGCTTTTACAGCCAGCTGGGAATGCTTATGCTCTGACCTTCTCCCCGCCAATTTATGAAATCTAGCGGCAAAATCTTTTATTTGGGGGAAGTCAAATTTGCTGAATGTACAGTTCAAGTGTCATCAGCACCCTGACATCTCTCACCTGGATCTTCAAGGGATGTAGCAAAATTCTTCGGAGTAATTGTTCGTCTTTTCGAAAATCCTCAACATGTTTCCGGAAGAGTTCCATGTCATTAAAGTGGGTTAACGCTGTTGAAAGATGTCTTAAACACGCAAATATGAAAGAAGAAGAAAAGGAAGGAAAAAAAAGAAGAAAAGAAAGGGTGATCGAAGAGCCGCACCTGTGCAGAGGAAGATGGAAAGAAACGCAATACTTTGGACAAGTTAGCACTTCTCCACTTGACCATCCGCCAATAGCGTGAAGCCATGCCTAAAAACAGAAACAGATCCACTTTTTGGTTCATAGAAGAAAACAAATAGGCATCCAAATTGATACCGACAGCGCATCCAAAATTCTGTCAAAAAACGCAGCCGCCGCAACGTAGTGTTGCTGTTGAGTAATGGCACCAATGAAGTTGAACATGGTCAATGCAAGTGCTTCAAACTCCAACGTGAATGATCTACAAAAGAAATGAATAGAAAGCGGTCGCAACAGGAAACCACTCATGTGTACTATCACAACCAATGAGCAAAATTCACCATTGCTCTAATATTTAAGGAAGCCTTCAGTGGTCACATTGTTTTCTAACTAAGGAAGGAAGTCGGTGTGATCAGTTTTTNTTTTTAAATACTACTAAACATCTTATGAAATTTCAACCCCAACTCTTCTCGTCAAGAATGAGTCTCGCCATCCATAACGGAAAGATGTGTTGATGAAATATTCACAACGGGTTCATGAAAACACGACAGCAAACTCAAAACTCAAGAACAAATTCTCTAGGGATGTTATTAAGGGAAATTAGAGAGAGGCAAAAGATTGAGCTACATGATAAAACGAAACTCCAATATGAACCCATCCAAATTTACTCTCAAGAACAGCATGCATAGCACAGATTGGGAACCTGCTCTAAAAAGACGGTTCAAGACTTCAACCACTTAGCTTGGCAGGTCACCATGTTGACATAGATCAACGAAGAAATCGAAAAAGAAACCAAACCACGATAATGAAAGTCTTGCAATACTTTCTAGTTCCACTAGTGTACAAGATCATCATGCGACCTTCATTATCGGATTGAACTGTTTGAAACTAATCTATTCAGAAAGTTGAAAGCATCTATATCAAGAGAATATCAATTTCAGGCAATAGCAAAGCCCTACGTAAGCAAAGGAGCACGGTATACGATGGTGATAGAATAGGGAAAAGTTAGGAAATATAAGCGTAGATTTTTTTGCTTTGCAAAAAGCTGTGTCCTCGCAGTTCGCTATGCCAGCGTTATGGTAACTATACCGGATCGTGGACACAACTTTACACCTCAAACAGAACTCGAAATAGTTCCATGCTTTAAAGTTATACTTGGACAGTAAGTATTTTCATTCCCCATCACGCTAACAATATCTAACCCGCTCCTGCTACATAGCTCAGCAGCCTTGTGGTATGGAAACACTATATTTGATCGAAGTGTCTATTTTTCTAGCAAAAAAAAANNAAAAAAAAATAGTATTGCATGCAACACTCAAGATGATATCTTCATAGAGTTCTTAAGCACAAAATCTCACCGTTGAACGAGATCAGTATTGTCATTTTCTCTGTGTTCACCCCGAATGATCCGCCAATTCACATTCATTCCTAAACAGTGCAGTTGTTACCGCTGCCATTAAGTGGATTTCACAAAGAATAAAACGCTATGGAACAACCGAGACATTTGTTTGAGAACCTTGCATCCTCTTTAGCAACTTCACATAGGTGTAGGAAAACGCTGTAGGATGAAGAACTGTATTTATAGCCAGAGAGGAATGAGCTAGTAAATTTTGCATATCACCCATAACGAACCAGTATCCATGCTGAGTCATCGTCTGGAAGAAAGAGATATGAAGTATGTATCGCTACGCTTCAAAAAGATAGCATAAATTATTGTTGTGCGCATAAGGACTCGAGGCATATTTTGCAACAAACTTGGGTCGAAAATGAAACCTCCTGGCTCTCATCTCTAGCTCTTTACTATACTGCTCTATGAGCTCTACAAAGAAGAATTTCAGCCTGTGGATAGTTCTCGCTAGGTGATTGTATTGTAGTTTTGTAGATATGATTACAGAACGTTGACTAACTGGATTCGGTGGACATTTCAGAAAATGACTGTGAGCATGCTTCCAGTGACACCATAACAGTCAGCAGAGTTGCACAATAGATTATATAGAACTAGCATTAAAACAAGTTCAAAAGTTGCATTGACCTCTTCGACCACTCTTATATTTCAAGATTCTCTCGTGATGACTTAAAATAAACACTGACGCACCGCATTCCTTTCAAGGAACATGACCTCCCAGTCACTTTGGTTGTCCTCAAGTTGCTTTGGGCTTGTGCAGAGTAAGAAAAATGGATCTAAAAATTTTAAAAGGGTAATTAAAACAATACAGGTGCTGTCTCCAAGGTTATCTTACCTAGGGTCATCTCTGTTTTCTGTAGCTTTGCTGTTAGTAAATAACATGCAGTATTCAATACAACATTGACGAGATCACAATTATCGTTGAGTCGTTTACATAGAGCCTCTGATGACAACATCTAAACATTAGCAGTATTCGTTATCACTTTTCCAATGACATAAAAAAGTACAGGAAACTCGAAAAGGAGAATCTACCCTCATTTGATAAGAGGTTCACATAAAAGCGGTAGCATACCCTTAACTGTAGAATTTTTCCCAATCCCTTCCCACCCACGACACATTTCTTAGAGGTTAAGGAGATGGTGCAATGTTTGTATGAGTGGAACTTCAAAAGTTGGCATCTAATTGATCAACTCAGACCCCTCAGATGTATAAGGATTTTTTTTACTTTTACAGAGGGGCGAGAATAACAAGACATTACCTGAACGGAAATATGAATGAGCCGACTACAAGTGGTTTGTACGATGTCGGAGTTTCGGTCTCGGAGAAGTTGATAGATACATAATTCTCTGACACAGTGAGCAACCAAAGGGTACCATGTGAAAAAACGAGTTGAAAGGGCATCCTTAATAGGATGCATTTTTCGTCTCGACTTTGCATTCATGTTCAACGTCAACAAGAAATTGTGGGAAAGTTGCTCACTCGAAACGTACCGTGTAATTTGGTTCGGATAACATGCTTAGGGAGAAGTTGATGAGGTTTTGAGGGAAGTTCATACGAATGACCCAAAATAAAAGTTCATCCAGCAAACACTCACATCTAGAAAGAATTCATGATTCCTTCTTATACACAGAATTAGATAAGCAGTTAGAAGGGAACTTCTCGAGGGTACATCTCTAACCATATGTTCAACTCTTCGCGGGGGCATAGGTAAGCCCTTTTAGCATAACATCCCTTTGTGTCATCTAAAGCTTGAAGACATCTATTTGTGCCAAAGTGGGGATTTTTGCTGTATGCCTTCAAACCCTTGTATATAAATGCATAAGGAGCCTGAAACGCTTATGAGTGGATTACAATGAGAAAAACTTACTTCAGAAGCTTCTCAGGTTCAAGATCAGGGAAAAACGACTTGAGCTTTTCTGAGAAAAGACTCATGCGATCATCATGGAATTTCATTCTCGTTCGCCAGTCTAGTGACATATCGGATGTATAAGCAAGTTCAGCTGAAATCGAATAGATCAAAATAGCTGGCTTTTCATACGGAATTAGTGCAACTATAATCCACACCATCATCAGAATTTCTTTCCGTTAAAGCCGAGTATAAATCTTTATCCATAAGAATTTCAGCCATGGCTTCACGCATGGGCCCACCATAGTCAACACATTCCTTAAAACAATGATTTTCGAATGATGTCGCTTGAAATAGAACGAAATTACATAGCGTACCTGCAGAAAATTGATCAAAAGAGTAACGGGCGAGACCAGAGTACCACAAAAACTAGATACATTGTAAGGTTCTTCCCAACCTTGTGCCTCCTGTTCTTGTGAGTATCGATCGATCTAAAGAAACATTCAAAATTGAGATTCATTCCAAGATATTTCTGAGCGACTATCTTCATAACTGTTTCTCAAATGTGCTGCCAAAATTCTACAAATTCAGCAAACTATCAAGGGGCGCATCCTTTGAAAGTTTCAGCTCGTACCAGGTTCGTCGAAAAGACGTAAACCATACCATAAAAAAGGACAGATGTTTGACTCATCAGATAAAGAGACACCTTTTCAATGTATTAACTAAGTAAAATTCCGGGCTGAAATACGGATTTGGAGAAAGAACGTTTCCCAATTTCTAGTATGGCAACATCTGTCCCTCCCATCGGTCTTTTTCTGGTGATATGCTCACGAGTTTTCGCTAGAGGGTGACATCGCACGGATATCGGTATTCACCTGTCCCTAAAAACTAGTTAAATCTTCGCAACTACTTTTACACAGGATTTGTCAACAGTGAGAGAACTCTTGGTCAGGCACTTAACACGCCAGCAGAGATTCCAACACTTGCTTTTCTCATAGAGTCCTCACGATCATGAGGTACCCAGCTTGCCTACATATAATTCTGGTACGAAGCCAACTGAGTGTTTTATAAAAAAAACTTAGCTAACATGAATTGAAAACAATATCTAAATAAACCGGAGAATAAAAAGTTCTATAAAACCGAAAACTATGAAAACACTCACAAAACCTCGCCATTCCAGGAAAAGACAGACAATTAGTTTCATGAAAATATGACGAGGAAGAGAAACGATAAGTGGAGAAGGTGAAGGTGGCCTCACAGCGTTTTCACCGTGACGGGGACAAAATCTGGAACAAATGGGAATTTTTTGTACTCCACTACAGAGGAAGATTTCATAACGCAGACACCACACTAGATATTTCTGTTTTGACAACCTTAAAAAAACGAGCAGGTCTTCCAATAAATATATCCTCAGCTTTTGAATTTCGATTTACACACAATATAAAAAAGCTTCCTCTCCAATTGCTTCGCGAAGTGTTACACTTCCGAGCATGATCAGGAAGATCCCCCTCCACTGCGTGATCCCCCTCCACTGCGTGAAGGTAAAAATTAAGAACAACCGGACCAAATCCAATAACCAGCTTCGTCGCTTAGCGCTTGCAGTGCTTTCCAAGGAAGTCTGTTAAACAGCATTACTCGTTACGAGGTCCACTTAGCTTATTTTAAGGTGGACGAGTTTTTTAAAAGGAATTTTGAAGATAAAACTGCGACTACACCGTCTCTTACATCTCTAAGCATACAAATATATAGGAAAACATGTGCAACTCACACACCCTATGGGTTTGATCACATCTGAGTTACCACAATCACATGCTCCACCTTCCCGCGAGAAAAACCGGGTGAAATCGTGTCCTTCGTGATTTGCGGCTTGAAAGCAGGAAGCACATAGAGACATACCTAGAAAAATGCTGATCTTTGAGAATGACTTTTTGTTAGCCGTGAATTTCGCAGCTTTCAAACAAGTTTCCCATGTCATCGAACTCAACTCAGCTAACTTACAAGGAGTTAGGGCACAGGTATTACAGCGATAAGCAACGGAGTCGTTTTCCCAGATTGTATTGCACTTTAAAGAGACATCCAGCTCATTCACTTGAAATCAGAAAATTAATAAACACTCTAGAGAATAAAATGAAATGATAGGTTCGTTCAGTACTTGCAGCCTTAAAAGTTTCGTATGCTTCTCCCTGGGCTAGTAGGATTCGCAACTTTGAATACAACGCGTCCGAACGTATTGAAGCCAAGGTGATTAACTTATCAAGGAACTGATTCAGACGCAGAGCTATCTTCCTGGAAAAAANAAAAAACTATTTCAGGAGTATTTCCATGCTAAGACTTTTACAGTTTAATATATTATTCCGTAAAGGACCGCGTGATACATGCAAAAAGAAATAAGAACAGTCATACCGAACTTGGGGATCAATGTTCTTTCCAGCGGCACTACCGACATAAAGGGGAACACCAGAAGTTTTTAAGAAATCCGCTTGTGACTTGCAATACAATACTGCATCCTTTACCCGCTTGTCGCTCTAAATCAGGTCACATAATGTGTGAGAAAAAGCCAGAAGTTTTCGGAAGAGTTAGAAGGCAATAAAACGTGGAAAACTGATGGGTTCCACTTGTCCCATTAATAGAACAGAGATATAAAGACAAACCTCGGTGAACTCATTCATTTGAAGTATTATCCTAAATGGATGGTTGTCATCTTCGTCAGGGTCTCTGGTGTCATCTACGCCTAAACTCACGGTATTTACATTAACTGCTGTTTGTAAACTTCTGAAATGTTGGAACCATTATGTGGCTAATTGAAGAATGACAGTTTGTTCACTCAGGGACTGTGAAGACACAAGTTTGTCTGGGTTAGGAACGATAATGCCTGTAAACTTCCTTCAATTGTTGTAAACTCTCAGGTTTCACCGCTGTGAAGCTATTTTTCAGAATGATTATTCAGCTGAAGGGCAACTTGGCTATAAATCAAACCAAATGGCTGCATAATTTTGCCGAATAAGGAAATTACCTTTGAAAAAGCGACTTATGAAAAAGTTCATAAACTGTAGGTGGACTTCACAAATCAAGTAACCACCAAAACAATCCGAACTAGCATGTTTTCTTTCCTTTGTTTGTACTTTACGGTTGTTTTCCTTTCTAACCAAAGTATAAACCCTAAACCAAAGTAAGAGATAGAGAGGTGATATTTGATGGTAGCAACAACATGAAGTTTACAAGCGTTGTTACCAATGTGGCCGCCGATTCTACATTTCAGGTCTTTAGCAATTATGATAAATACCTGAGTGACTCAATCCAATACCGTCAAAGTCTGATTGACGACTTGGGTGTGGATCGCCCGGCAGAGGAGGCATCACCTCCAATAACTTGATACCTGGAACAAACATAAATGTTAGCTCAGTAATGCAACTTACTTCCACGAAAGAACGATTGAATAGAACGTTTTGAATAAAAAAAAACATGAAAAAAGAAGTTGCTACGCAAATCACCATTAGCTTAGTCTACCAACAAATCACCATAATGCCCAGTAAACAGATAAAAACATTAGCAACTTGCCACCACCGGTGTACCTCACAACAAGAAAAGGGCTAGGTTAAATGAAAAATCACATGTTAGCCACCAAAGCACTTTGAAAAAATGGTGAACAGCTGATTCAAAGGGATGGATAATTGCGACGTCACCATGACTGCTCCGCCTTTCGATTTGGAGCAGTTGTCCGCGCGACAGAGCTGTGGATTGGTAACGGATAGAAAATTGAATGAAAATGGAGCATTCCATAAACTTATCTGCCGTATCTTTCCGAAAAACGACTAAACATTTGGCATATCTTTCCCGGCCTTACGAAAAACGAGAAAGAAATGTTGTTTAAGTCGAGTTATCATCCATCATACACGTGTGGACGAGAAGCTTCAAGTAGTTAGCGAGATAATCCTATGCGAGCAAAAAATCCGTGTCCTCCCACTAGGAATTCAGGCCCTCCCATTCATAGTACAATAGTACATGACTGCGCGCGATCGCGGACGGCGAGCGCGATGCGATTCGAATTCGGACGAGTTGCTTGGCAAGCAGAGGCGCTTGCATGACGAGATGTGGGGGAGAGAGAGAACAGCGAATATCGTTGACCTTACTAGCTGCCTTGAGACATACCCAATTATCACGAGGCGATTATCACCCAAAGTGGAGCCGCCTTTACTTCATAGGTTTCGGTCTCACAATTTCGGTCCCATATTTCAACATATTTTACTTCTATGTCGTCGTCGTCACGCTCCTTGCATGGGAGCAGGAGAGGACTGTAAAATCGTGAACTTATTGGATTTATGCATTATGTGCCCATCTCCTCCCATCCGCGAATCGGCTCCATGGCAGAACTGTCAGGCCATTCTCTTGATGGCGTGAACCAGCCAGCTCAATTGTGCCACCTAGAGATGCGAGTTGAATCAGGCCTTGCTGTGACACTCATTTTACCATCAGCATGATATCCTTCATTAAGGTGAACAACATCCCATCGATCAGGACACTGCCCATGTATGGACTCTTCTCAAACCACTTGAAGAGCACGCTGCAGCGGTCCCATCACTTGGGTTTTGTTAGGTCACAAATGACCAATGTACTTTCTGTAAGTATACAGTTTCAAGCGAAATACAGCCTTTTATTTCTCAAAGTTATGGTTTTGATGTCAAAGTACATGGCCATTAATGCTTTTATGTGCAACTGATCGCTTTCTTTCTCGATTTACCCTTGAGTGAAGACACTTGCTGACCTATTGTGTCCAGGTTGAAAGGAAGCTTCTCAGATCAGTTTGTACCACTTCGTATGTACAATTTCTTTTTTCATCGTGTCGCTTTCAAATCATGAAAAAGTGTGACAAGTTCAATGAACCACACATTTACCTCAACATTACCCAAGTAGTAGGTAGCAAATATACACATATTCATAAATACATCTTTCATGTGTAATCTGATTTTAAACAACAAGCAATGATCATGGGAAGAAGGTGGTCATCAATGCCTGAAAGGTCAAATTCCCCATAAGAGGAAGAACATAAGAAAATCGAAGAAGTTGCGCGAGCGCGCGCAGTTGCCATAATTTCCACCCCGTGCATATGCGAGCTTGGTTGACGTCAGTCTTATTGAAGATGTTGGGGAGGCAGTTCGGGAGGAAATGCTCCATTGCAAACCGTGGCATCGACACCTGTTCCACACTTTTCAAGAGTAATCGTTTGCGCATTGGTGAGTATCAGCAATTAAAGTGAGCTCTTCATAGCTTTTTGTGCTTGCCCTCGCTGAGTGTGGCACATTACCCTTCCTAGATCTTCTTGATGCTAACAATCGAGCAAGCAAGCTGGTAGACCGGACGTTTTGTGCAATTCACTGCTGCCCAAGAAGAACAGATTTTTAATTTCGATGCATTCACAAGGTTGCACGAAGAAAGCAAGATCTAGAACGGAGTTGCACTCATATGGGCAAACGACTATCGCGTTAGAGATGGACTCCATTATCCTACTACCAGTCGGATTGCTAGCTAATACCAGGCGCTTTTCCTTTTCGTGTGAAATAGCTGTCGATGCAGTCTCTCCGAATTTGGACGCTCTGTATAGGAAATAAAGTTTTTCGGCTAAGCCCTTCTTTTTTTCAATATGACTGGGCAAGTCCACTGAGATCACGCATTTTCGTTTTCGCTTTTCGTACGCTCCGCCCCGTTGACAGAGTTTTGTCCTGCCACCTACCATAAATTTTCAAATTCTGTTTCCTGTAATTCTGCCAAATTTGAACGTTCTAGGTCCGCGGGAGCAGTAGTTACGAATTCCCTCTCTTACATTCATTTCGCGCAGGCCGCACCCTCTGTGGGTGGATTCCAGTAAGCTCCCACAATCAGTGCTCATATCCTTTCTCTTTTAACTCTATCAACTTTGAACACCCTAGGTCCAGTGGGACGGGAGCTAGTAATTCCGCTCGAACATTGATTTTGCATAGATCCCGCCTCTTTTAAGTGGAGTACGTCCCTTTCACACACCATAAGTTTCCCATCCTGCCAGTGATCCCGTTCTGACTGTACTCCTACCAAATTTGAATATGCTTCAGGTCCAGTGGGACAGGAGTATGAATTTCCGTTCAGAAACACACACACACAC